GCACCTTCCACAGTGAATGCATGTATGGAGGATGGGAATGAACAGGCACAAAAACCGCCTTGATTGAGATATTGTCAGGACGAATTGATGACAGAAGCAATGTTGTTGGGATTTTGTTCGGAAATGCAAGAATAGTTTGATCTGTGATCACCGCGGAGTGTTGCGAGTACCCCCGCCCGGAGTCCACGACTCCTACGGCTTACCCCTGAAGCCATGTGCGATCTGAGCACGAAATAGCGGCTGCGTCTCGCCACACATGAGCTTTTCTTTCTCTCTCCCCGAACCCTCTGGTTCTCCTTTCTGACCTTTCTGATTGGATTGCTAGGATTGCATGCATGCGATGAATGTTTAAAATATTCCTAATTATTTGCCATGTGGGCTAACGGGCTCAACCCGACTAGGCGCCAGCCTCCCGTATCCCGTCTCCGCCCTTTCCCGTATAACGAGGACCGGACGCGAATCTGTGAGTGGGACATACGAGAAGTCGTCGCAAAGATGGGTGGGCAATGTTATTTCCCTCCCGAAAATCTGTTCTGGGTTTGTCGGCGCTGGGTTTGTCATCGTCGATACGCATTTTCCGCCGTACTCGTTGCTATTACCATTCAACGAGTTGATCGTCATCCCGTGGTCGGCAGTAGCGCCCCATTGGCCTAACACCTTGTGTAGTGACTGCCAACGACTCGATCACTACCAATCGAAGGGGTTCCACTACCGAACACGAAATGAGGATGAGTACAAGGAAAGGGCCGCGCGATTAAGGCCTTCCACGTCGGATTCAGAATTGTGTAGCGTACGGCGTCGGGAGCTAGTGCGGAAGCGAGATACTAAACACGTGCCCGCACCGTTTCACTCCAAACGCAGGGCCGTGGCACGGTGGGAAGTCCGACAGTACTTCCTGGATTGAATTTAAATTTCCCCACATGTGCTAATATGTACAGGGACCAGTATTGCAACAAGGGGGTCAAGTCCCACTAGAAGCGCCTCGAGTTTGCTCAAGGCCTGAATCCTAGACCTGTTTGTGGAAACGTGTGGTTGAGGAAACTCAAGGCGACTTCTGCACATCTCCACAACCACGTCCAGATTCAGGCATTGAGGAAACTCAAGGCTGCTAGTGGGGCTTGGGCCCGGTATGGGCCCAGACCACCTCTAGTAGGTTGTTTGTTAAGCATTCCCAGCCTGTGATTCCAAAAAGAAGAAAGGGAATTTTCCAGCAGGTGCTGCTCCCCACCAATAGATGGAGGGCCCCCGATAGTGCTAGTGGTGCCTGCTCGTACCAGCATCCCTAGCACCTGTTCGGGTTGTTTTATTAAAAAAAAAGAAGAAGAAGAAAAAAAAAAAAAAAAAAAAAAAAAAAAAAAAAAAAAAAAAAACTGGTGTTACTCCTAAGGCTTACACAGGGGACCCCCTGTCTCTTATACACATCTAGATGTGTATAAGAGACAGGGGCTGTGGGATCCAGGCAAGCCACGTCGAGACTAAGTTGGCGGGGTGACGATCGCAGTGGTGGAGGATGACACGCGACGGCCGGGATCGTCGGTGTCAGAATGCGGACAGGTGATCTGAGTTGAGTGGATGACTGGCC